ATATATATATATATATATATATATATATATATATATATATATGTATATATATATATAAATATACATATACATATACATATACATATACATATACATATACATATACATATACATATACATATACATATATATATATATGTATGCATGTATATATATGTATGTATAGATATAGATATAGATATAGATATAGATATAGATATGTATATATGTATATATAACGAGCATGAGTGTCAAGATTTCTTGCGGAGTTTACTTTCGTATCAATGACATGTATTGTTGTGTTTACGAATTACAGGACAGAACAAACTCGTCATACGTACATGTAACTTACTCGCACTATCTGAATAGAGCACCAACAACAACCAAAATGCCCCCCAGCGCAGCACACTGCATTTCTCCAACACGCACACCGATCACGAGCAGAAGTGAACAGCCAACGAACAAATCCTGATATGCAAAACAAATAAAATTAGAATGCCAGTAACCATAGCCTTCTAGACTATAGAAGGCTATGCACTAGCTCATACGAAGTGTGTGTGTGGATCCTAACTCAATGTACCTGGCGTGTGCGGCCAGATCGTCTGATGCCAAAGAGTTCTGGATCGATGTCCCAATCGTGATCTACGTTTTTCTTTTTGGGCTGAGAGGACGCCGCTTTTTCGACCATGTTTGTTGTCGACTCTGCGTAAAGTCAGGCAAAATATAAGAAGGTTCACGTCACGACTCAGGGTTTAGGGTTTAGGGTTGGGGTATATTTATTTGTTTACACGCTATTGCTATATGTTGAGGGTTGAGAGTTTGGAAAAAATATCAAAGTGTGCTCAAGTGGCAATACAAATGTTTGTGCGATAAAAATTGGTTGTGCCAAAACGTGAGGTGTTTGCGCATATGCCAAGTGTATTACAACCCGGGCACGCGCATCCACAGGCGAGCTACTTGAAGGCAAACCAAACATGTGTGCGGACATACAACCCAACCAGATGTGTATACAGACGAAAGTGGAATAAGGGACACACTAATACACTCAATCAAGGGGAGACTGAGTTGAGTGACCATATTTTTAGGGAAATACACTCAAAACAATGTAAATATTGTATGCGAGGCTTTGCAACCCTTTATGTGCTGATGTGTATTCTACATGCAGGTACACAGATCACGTACATAGATGCACAAGCAATAAGTATTTATTTGCCTGACCATAACCAACATGTAGTACATATTCAACTACTACAGATCTTGTATGTATGAACAAGACACCACGATTTACCACGCAAGCGAAAGGCGAAACTCGGCCCAATACAAAGGCATACGCACCACACCTCGCGTTAACTATGATACACACATATAATATCCAAATGAAACAGATGCGTAGACAATGAGGAAGAATTAACATATAGCCTCACACCACCGAATGATATAGTTTATATATACGTAACAATACTGCAGAAAAAAAAGAAATGATACATATAGTCCCACACCACCAAATGATACAGTTTATATATACGTAATAATACTGCAATAAAAAAGGAATGATATATATAGTCCCTCGCCACCAAAACCGATCAGCCTACCTCTGGCACTACGCGTCGGGAGCTTTTTCTTCGCAGCACTGCGAGCCTTGTGGTCCGATCCACTGGACTCGCTGTCGGACGAAAGCTCAGATACGACCACATCACTACAAGTGCAACAAAATGTACACAACAGGCGGATCAATGGGATATAAGAAGATTGGATATGCAATGCAAGTGCAAGTACAGCACATGTAAGTACAACAAGTACGAAATGAAATAGAAAACAGAGAGGTGACTACTACGATCAGGGGATGAAAACTAACATACATCTAACGATGCAATAATATATATATATATATATCAAGAATATATATATATATATATATATATANATAATATATATATATAATANATATATATATATATATATATATATATATATATATATATAGTNTGTGTAGTGTGTGTGTATATATATATATATATATATATATATATATATATATATATATATATATATATATATATA